TTTTAAAGCTATCTAAAAATAGTTCTTGTCTCATAAACAAACAACTACCAACTAATATTCATCTAAACATGTCATAATCATCATCAACTAACAAAAAATGAGTTTTCACCAATATTACCAATCCTTTCAACACAATAAAATTAAATCCATCTCAAAGTACAGAAAGAAAGTGTAATACTAGTAACTAGTCAAGATTAACAATTGAATACTCATGACACTAATAAAATAACTCTGGAGTAACTCTAAGAGTTCAAAAGAAAAGACTATAGTAAATAAATAAAACTCTTCGCCCACGCGAACGAGTGAGGGGCTCATCGGGAACTATCAACTTGTGTGCTCTAATTAATAAAATCCTCGCTCGCGTCAACTGTTGTCTCTATAAAGAAAAACAGCGAAGAGTGAGTCACTAGCTCAGGGAGTAATAAAACTTAACCACGACCATTTTTTAATTGGGACAATTCAGAAAATATGCTAGTATATTAAACAGAAAATATCATAGGAATGCCCCTTTCAGAAATAATAAACAAATAACAGTCTCATCATGTTTTTCATGTTATATAATTCAATTTACAATTTGGTAAAAAGCTCGATAAACACTGTGTAATAATAATATTCATGTTTGGTAGGTTTCAATAAATGGATCATATAATCGATAAGACTGTAGATTATTTCTCAAGAAGTCAAATATAACGGTAGTCCCTACTCGATGGAAATCAGTAACGGTATGATAGTTCTACCTTCCCACTAGCGAAGGTTGTAATGGTAACCAGTAATTACAAGGTGTACCAGGTCTAACGAATCCGTCGTTAGCTACGGGATCCTTCAAAGTATACTCCCATTTACACTTGTCTCTTTAATCCGTATATACTCGTAGCAAAATATTTTAAAACAATATAGGTCATTTCGGTTATTATCAAATCATATAATTTTGTTTAGATAATGATAAATCTTATCTCAAATAACAGTAAAACATATTCAGTAACAATAAGAATATTCAGAATAACTGTAATCATCTCAAATAAATGTAGTGATATTATATTTAGTAAAAGACTTGTCCTACATACAAATTCAAAATAGTCGGTAACATGTTCATATTAAAATCATCTATAAATCATGCTAGTTACGGAAACCCAAATTACGGTAAAGTTACTTCTCACCTCATGATGTCAATTAAACAAAGCTTAACTTCCCGTCAAATCCAAATTGCTCATCTTGTATACGAATTTCTAAATCATTTTAAAGTTTAGTGTCACCTCCCATTAATTCTATAATTCATAAAGTTGAGTAGTACCAGATCATTATTATGATAACCCACATCTTGGTTTCACTTAAGTTATCAGTTGTTAGACTTTTAATAAAATAATTCTCTGCAAATTCATCTTTCCTATAATATATCCTTTATGAACTGGATTAGTTCTCCACACAAATTCATATTCAATATTGTCTATTGCAATACAATTAAACATCAAAACTCAATATCATATCTTAATTTACACCTTACAAATATCATATATAATAAGACTAGTTTAAGTACAAATACATCAATATTCTTTTTTTTTTCAAGTGAATTTATCCAGCAGTAGCATTGAGCCAACTTCCAATTACAAAATTTGCCCATAATAATTTTTATTGATATTAAATTTCTTATACCTTGTGAAACCCTTCAAATATTTAAACGAGATAAAAAGAATTACCGAAAGAAAAGAACCCACATGACAAATTCGAATATTACTCTTAAGAACCAGAACATATTTAAAACTTCTCATGGCTTGGTTCCAGCCTCCTTCTTCTTCTTCTTCTTCTTCTTCTTCTTCTTCTTCTTCTTCTTCTTCTTCTTCTTCTTCTTCTTCTTCTTCTTCCTCCTCCTCTATGGATTTTGTTCTTTCTTTCTGAATGCTTAGCTTCTGTTTTTTAGCAGCAGTTTTGCTGCGTCCCTTTTCCTTTTTCTCTTTTCTCGTTTCTCTTTCCAGTGGGCTTATTATATATATATATATATATATATATTTTACTTTAGTTAAAGACGTATATGCCCTTATTAATATATATGGTATTACACCTTGTTGAGGTAAGTATCTTGCCTAATTTTTTGTGAGGGAACTACCTTTTAGGATTTTGGGTTGATTGTACCATTTGTTTTATGTGAAAGTTGTGTACGCAAGGTGACAAGTGGGTACACCGATTATATGTAATATTTGACCGTTTTTGTTATTTAGACTATTTCCATGCCTTTAATTAAATTGACATATCATGTTAGTTCACATTGTTAATCTAATCTTGCATGTGTTAGTCCATACATGCTTTATTTGACTTTGTTAACATTTGTTCTACTCTTTACATGTTGTTTTGCTCTTATAGGCCTAGTTAAAGTTATTGCCTTTCTTATTGCCTATTTACATCTTTAATTATTGAATTACTTGTAATTTAAGTTGTTAATTCGCGAAATATCTTCTTGTTGAGTTATTGGTGTTGAAGATGTGAAAGTCGTTATCACATTGAGGAGAAGTTGTTATTTCTTTAGATATATTACTTGTTGAGCAATTCACATTCATTATTATCGTTAATATTTTTGTACACATTGTGGTTTAGCCATGGGCAAGTTGTGGCATATGTGCACTTGTGGTGCGAGTTGTTATTGTGTTGTGATATTGATGCTTATATGGTTGTATAAGGATAGGAAAAAATGTGCATGCGGCGGCATAAGGTGGGATTTATATGCGTGTTGCTAGTAAGAAAATTACTTTAAGTCATGCGGCGTCATAAGGTGGACTAAAGTGCGTGTAGCTATTTCAGAAAAAATATTTTCAAAACTATCTAAATGTAATGCTCATGCGGCGGTATAAGGAAAGATTGTGATTGCAATTGAGAAATGTGTATACGAGGCGATACCTTGATTATGATTCTTGTTGTATACGAGGTGGTACCTTAGTTGTGATTCTTGTTCTGCATCTCATGTTGAAAAGAGTTACTGATGGAACAGTTCTTGTATCTTTTATTCTTCCTTGTCTTATCAGTTTTGTTCGTATTTAACTATTGTGGTTCTCTTTATTTGCTCCTTTCTTATTATCTCTATGTTTACAATCCTGTCATTAGTCTATGTTATTAATCTGCTTCGTTATCATTTTTTTCTCCGCCTTCCACTACTTCTCATTATTATATTTTCATTCTGTTTATTATGTTCTAGTAGGTATCTTGACCCGACCTCGTCACTACTCTACCAAAGTTAGGCTTAATAGTTACTACGTACCATTGTGGTCTCATACTATGCTTCTGCACATCTTTTTGTGCAGATCCAGGTACGTCTGGCTGTGCTGGATGTTAGTGATTGATTGTACATGTTTTCCGGAGACTTCAAGGTATACCTGCTCGGTGTCTACAGGCATCAGAGTCACCTTCCCTTATATCTGCATTCTATTTTATTTCTTATTCTGAAGTGTTGTAGTAGACCTTCCAGATTATTGTGTAGAGCTTATGACTCAGTTCAACCGGTTTTGGGAAGAGTGTTGTTGAAATCCTATTCTAGAAGTTTATGTATGTTATTAGTCTTGCTTTACTATTTCTATTGATTATTTCTGTTAAGTTATTATTGAATGTTACGCTTACCTAGTTTTACAGATTAGGTCACAACATCTTATGGTAAAAAAATTGGGGCCATAACAATATCATATGATTATCCTTCTAAATCCACGCATTTCCAAACCCATTCGAATCTACCATTCGAACCTGGTAAAGAAATTCTAAGAAGCAAAGTGATGACACACAACCAAAGGTTTTTAACTTGCGACTTTAGACTTATCTTTATTTGAACGTGTTTATTTTAACAAGATCCTTTCCTAGCATATTTAAATGAAAAGATTCTTTAGATCCATATTTGATTGCTTAACTGGAGGAGATCAAGAATATATTACAACTATGACATTAAATACTATTAACATTGGTTTAGTGTATGTGCTGAACTTATTAGAACATTTTGCAGGCAAACTTAAATTGAAAGATTCTTCATACGCGTAATTCAGTTCATAATTAATGCCATTGCAAACTATAATTAAACCATGTCACGAAACAGTATTCATGTGGCCCCAATTAAGTATCACGATATCACATATGAGAAAGAAATGTATCACTATATATGATTAAGTATCACAGAGAATCAAGTTACACTCGAATAATTCTAACCTATTTGTAATATATGCACGATATATGGAAAAACTTTTACGAGGAGTTATTATGCTAGGAGAAGTTGCTTTATGATGTACGGACAAGAACTTTTTTCTTCCAATTTTCAAACCCCAATTTGGAGGAGTGATTGTCTTTTATTCACTTTACCTAGGCGAAAATATTTTGTATTGACAACTTTCAAACGTAAAATTATTCTAAAAAACATAGGATTTGAGCATATTTTTTTAATGTTTTTTACGGCTAGATTTATCTAGCAACTTCATACATAGATAAAACTACTAATGTGAAGTATGTAAAATTCATCTAGACGAATATTCGTAGTGTTTAGGAGACATACTATTCAAAACTAAATAGAAACACTGATGGTAAATTGCCTATATACAATTGAAAACCTAACATGTGAATTTCTTTAATTAAAAAAAAGAGTGTGCACGAGCCCCTGTAATAAAGTAAACTATGGGTAATTCAAGAACATGTTCTAGTTGCAAATTTAAAATTACAAAATATGTCTAAATCGTCTTTAATGCTCACATGCTTTCCAAAAATAGTGGATCTTAAAATGCAAAAGATTGTATTTTATAGCAATAAGTCTCAATCCTACTCTATGAATTAAATATTATTAAATTATTTTATATTAAATGCGAGAGAGAAAGAACACAAAAAAAAAATACATTATATTACATAAGCCATCTTCGGAAAAACTTCAATATAATTTTTTATATTATAAAATGTTGAATATACAAGGAACCTATCATGGAACTATTAATGACCACCCCATATGCCAATTCATTACATGGGGGTCTATAAATTACACCCATATGCAAAGCAAAAATACACTCACAAAAAAATTTCGTAAAGCGTGAATTACTATTCTAAATATGGCATTTCTTAAGTTCGGTTTCATTTACGCAATTGTTGTAATGTCAGCCACTGGTTAGTTTCTATCTCCAATTTACTACATTTCTTACAATGTATATATAAGAATGTCTCTCTAAGATTTGATTTTGATAATTGTAATGGTGATATTTTCAGTTAATTTGATGGAGTTCTCCAAGATACAAGTAATGGCTGCACGAGATGTTGATAATGATCTCTCAAAAATCCAAGGAAGATTACTCCCGCAACTTAATACTTGTTTCAGATCTTGTACGTCTAATAGTGATTGCAGCGACTGTTGGGTTTGTTGTTCCTGTGATTACATTACATTCTATACTTTCCAGTGCGGTATTGGAGGGGGATCACATGTATAACTCTAAAATCCCATTGAAACAATCTGCTACAAAACAATGTTACACATTTATGATTTCATGTAATTTCTATGTTTTCTTCCTTGTTTCATTTCTCGTGTTTACCATGTATTGTGAGAATAATAAAGAATGTCAAGTGATGGCATCAGATTCAAGAATAAAAATATATTCAAATCACATGTTATCTTTGCTAGATTTTACGTGCTCTTATCATGCATTTACAACTTTTATCTACAGATGTATTGTATATATAGACAATTTAATTAATTAATTTATTTATTTATTTTGTGTATAAATAAAATGAAATAATTATCCAACAATAATGTTGCTTATACTTTCAATTCTCAACATATTTCATCATCTTATATGATATCCCGACATTAAGTCGTGCTAACACACCCACAAAAAGTTCAAGTTGGGTTATTGTAATTGTGCTCAACATTTTTGCAAGAATAATCACGAGTTAATATGCAATTCCTCTGGATTTTCTCTTGAACTTTTGAGTTGAACAGTCAAACTTTGCGGGTAAAATTTTCACAACAAATCCATAGTAATTTTTATACAAAACAATAACAACAAACACAGTATAATCCCACAAGTATGGTCTGGGGGAGGGGATAATGTGTGGGCATACCGTATTCCACCCTTACGAAGGTAGAGAGATTATTTTCGTTAGACCCTCGGCTCAAAGCAACAAGCACTAAAAATAACAAAGTAATAAGATAACAGAAGCGGGTGATACAACAGATAGGACTGAAGATCTAGGGACAAAAAGTATTGTGCAAAGAATTGTAACGACGCGACCGGTCGTTTTGAGCTTTAACATTACATTCGGTTGTTTGTGACGTTGAGTAGCTTCATATTATGTATTAGGACTTGCTTGTATGGCTGGTTTCGATTTTTGAGCGGTTCGCGATTGATTTGGAAAAATGATTGTTTTATTTATATTTGTTACACAATCTAGATCTAAAAAATTATATTGTTCAGTTATCTGTCTTGGTGCCCATTTCTTATTTAACCTCTTATCCCATAATGTTTTGTTTCTATCATATGCATCATAACTTACTCTGTAATAGGTTGGGTTTAATTGTTTTGGATTTTTTATTCCTGATATGCTTGGTTTATCTTCGTTCATATCTCCTGTATTTATTTCTGGNAGTTTATCTTCGTTCATATCTCTTGTATTTATTTCTGGGTTTGTTTTTATCTTTTCTGTTTCTTTTATAAGTTCTGTATACGTTTCACTTATTTCTGAATAGTTTTCTCCTAGATCTTCGTCGTTATCACTTTGGTCATTTATTTCGTTTATGCTTATATTTGGATTATCCTGTACTTCTTCTAATTGTATTTTAAATTTTTCTATCTCATTTGTCAGTCTTAGCTCTTGTTCTTCTTCTTTTCGTTTTTCTTTTTCTTTTAGTTTATTATTATACAGCTGTTTTAGCATCTCTAATTCTTTTTCTAATTCTGTTATTTTAGTGTTTTTTACTTCTTCTATCTGTTGTATTTTTTCTTTAGCTTGCTGTTGTATTTCTTTAATTTCTCGTTTTCTATCTATTTCTTCATTCTCTTTTGTTATTCTAACCATTGCGGTTAAACTATCTTCTAGTCTCACAGCTTCTTTTTCTAACATTAAGTTTAGATTATTCCCTATTTTCTGGTATCTTCTTCCTAAGTTGGAAAATATTATTGTTATTTTTAATCCTTCTGAATTTTCATATGTTTTTTCTTCAAGTGCGAATTCTTCCTTATTCATCTTTTATCTCTTAAATAACAAATATATTTATATTCTGTTTTAGATATTATATCGATTAATTTAGATAGCCTAGCTTTGTCAATTTTTGTGATACTTAAGTATTTATATTCTATGTATAGTTTCTTTAGTTCCTTTCTAATTTTC